GGGAGGACTGGCCTCTCCTGAGTACGAGTGCTGTCCGGTTGTCCACCGCAACAGAAGGGCCAACAAATTGCCGAAATACCACACGTTGTCCATCACTGCAACGCTTCCAACACTTCTTTCTTATGTCTCGCGCAAGGTATCACACGTTCAGCCAAACCATCACTGATTCAGTGATTTGTCACTCATTTGTGGCAACGTTTCCTGAGATACTCATCAAACCACTCAATCCAATGCATCCTATAATCAGTGTTTATGTCCACAGAGAGTACACAATGCCTTCATTTCATTGCACGTGTGCTTCACATTAGAGGTTCGCTTCACTGCCAAACACTCTCTCATTGAATACCAATCATTTGTATAGACGTTATGTAATGCAGAGAAGTAGTGCTCTCCAGACAGGGAGTGATTGAGTAGAAATCAACTCTATTTGGCTTTGTATGCAATCAAAGTCATGTCGAGTTGACGCAAATGTGCCGTTATTTTTGAGTAAATGAGTGATTTATTTATAGGGTTAGACTGTTGGCTGAACCTAAGAACCAATGCGTCCGTCCGCACCCGCGCCCTATATTCGCATTTTTCATTATTAAATGCGAGTATAATTAGTATTATAGGAAGAAAGGTATTTATTATTTTACTTTTAATTTCCAAAATTTAATTTGAACGTCATAAATAAGTTGTTCCACACAACACCACGTTTTAATAAATCATAAAATACATTTTTATGTTACTATAAATATAGTTTAATATACAATACAATACTACAATTATGATTATTCTCACTAATTTATATTATGAAGTCCTGATTTAGCTTTTGTTTAATTAATATGTCATATAACGTTGTTTAAATTTTAGTTTAAGCGACTTTTAACATTGTCGCAAATGCCCTGACATATGCCCACAATGTGTTGGTTGACGTTATGAGCAGTTGATCTCAATTTGTTGACAACTTTTCAATACGTGTTTACAAATTGTTCAGAAATATAAATGTTTTATAATTTGATTGCAAATTAATTGAAGTTTTATTTGATTTTATTATAGATTTAGTGAATAAGTAGTGAATTGTATGGAAATGGGAGACAACGAAGAAAACGATGAGTTGAGAGCAAAGCGAAAGATAATTGACGCCAAACTCAAAGCGAGACCGGGTTTGCCATGAATTGATCCATTGGTTGGTGACTCGTATGACAATTGTGTGGTTATTGTCTCCTTAGAGTTGATGGACAGTCGGGCGTGGACTGCAAACAATTACAGCCAAACGTTTGACTTGAATCCCAACGCCTTTGAAGACAACGTGGAGAGGATTAGCGTCCAAGAGGTGAGGGTCGAGCAGTTCGTCGAGAGGTATGAGAAGCTGTACCGTCCGGTCGTAGTGACCGGTGTCTGCGACCACTGGAAGGCCTGTCACAAGTGGACACTCGAGGTATGTGTGACACTGTGGGCACTGTTGTGGCAAATGTGTGATGACTTGATGTGATGCAGAGGTTGGCCAAGAAGTACAGGAACCAGAAGTTCAAGTGCGGTGAAGACAATGAGGGATATTCGGTGAAACTCAAGATGAAATACTTCGTGCATTACATGCGAGACAATGCGGACGACAGTCCGCTCTATATATTTGACAGCAATTATGGAGAAGTATGCCATTCATTGACATCTCATTGACATCTCATTGACATCTCATTGACAGTGCAATTGATAATTGATTTTGAAATTTATCATTATTTCGATGCAAAGCACTGCCGGAAGAAGAAACTTCTGGACGACTACTCGATTCCCGAGTATTTCAGCGATGATTTGTTCCAATACGTGGGCGAAGAGAGACGACCCCCTTATCGGTGGTTCGTGATGGGGCCCGAGAGGTCCGGCACTGGCATTCATATCGACCCTTTGGGTACAAGTGCTTGGAATGCGTTGATTGTCGGATACAAGCGATGGTGTCTTTTCCCGACAAACACTCCGCGAGAACTGATTAAAGTGAAGCCCACAGAAGGCGGCCGACAGAGTGAAGAAGCCATCACTTGGTTTACTGTGATATACCCTAAGACACAATCCCCTGATTGGCCGCAAGAGTTCAAACCGTTGGAGATTCTGCAGAAGGCCGGGGAGACTGTGTTTGTGCCGAGCGGGTGGTGGCATGTGGTCATCAACCTGTCGGACACTATAGCTGTCACTCAAAACTTTTGCAGTCTTACTAACTTTCCGGTTGTTTGGCATAAGACGGTCAGAGGGAGACCCAAATTGTCACAAAAATGGCTGTCAGTTCTTAAGGAGAAATTTCCGGACATCGCGGCCGTCGCAGAGAGAGTGGATTTGAGTGAAAGCACGGGCGTTGCCTCCGATAGCTCCGATGACAGCAGTTCCAGCTCCAGTTCCGACTCGGAGGAGTGCTGTTCAAGTCCCGGACACTCAGTTTCGGTCAGTGATAACGATTCCGGTCAGGAGAGCATTGGCAACAAAAAACACCGCAGAAAACGGTTTTGAGATATTACTTTGAATGAAAATAGTTAACTAAGTAACTAAACTAAGAAAGGTCTGTATCTAGACACTCAGCAAGGATGCTTTCGCTACCATTATCTGTAGTCTTTGTGTTCTCAACTACTATTAGAAGACAATTAGATGTAAAACATTAAAGTGCCATAAATTTTATAAATTGTTTTATTATGAAAGCTCACGAAAAGAATCACGAAATGAATGCTTAAACTTCGCAAACGCTTCAATCGTTATATAGATTTGTAATATCAAATAGTTTTCATCATTTGGGTCGACATTACTTTCACGAATTGCTGATTCTTTGTAAAGCCATTGGTATTCGAGGCCTCCGTTTGCAACCCTTTTTCACAGAAATATATTATACTTTTATATATTCTCGTCATTTTAATACATTTTCACAAATAAATTAATAAATTATTATAAAATTAAGTTCACCTCAAAGTCTTTTCTAGTCGTCCCGTATTAATGATAATCTGTTTTTCGATGGCATCCATCAACTGATCCAAACCTATTCTCTGAGTGGCGGACACTAGCAGTCGATTACTGTTTTGAAGGGTTTCTTGATCTTCGACTAAATCTATTTTATTTGACACTTCAATGATTGAATTCTTGAGCTTTTCGGGAACATTGATTTGATCTAATGTTTGGCTAACCGTCTGGTCGTGTAATTGATGGTTGGGATGACTCACATCCAGCACGTGGACGATCACATCTGCGAAACAGATTTCACTTAATGTGGCTTTAAATGAGTGAATCAAAGCCGTCGGGATCTCGGAGATGAAGCCAATGGTGTCGGTGTAGAGCACTCTGAGACTGGAGGCGAGTCTCCCCGTGTGAACCGTCACATCCAAAGTGGCGAACAACTGATTCCTTGGAACTAATCTCTGGTCGTTTGTCAGGGCTTTGATGAGTGAAGTCTTACCACAATTGGTATAACCGATGACTGCGATCACCGGAAACTGTTTCTTCGCGCGATTCACTCGAAGTAGTTCTCTGTTTGATTCGATTTTATCCAAAAGTTTAGTTAACTTCGATTCCCTGTCCCTCAAGAGTTGTTTCCTGATCTCAATCCACGTCTGTCCGGAACCGCCGGTCGTATGCAACCAACCCTTTTGTCGCGATTGTCCGCTCTTTTCTAAAACTCTTAAGTTGTTTCTAATGTACGGAATCTCCGCCAAAGCGATCTGCAGTTTCGCTTCTTTGGTGTTGGCCTGAGATTTGAAGACATTTAAGACAATGGAATATCTGTCGTAAATCTGGGAACAAGTCATTCAATCATCAGTTCCTGTCGTGACAGTCATGTGCCGACTCAGGACTCACGTCAACCCCTAATTGGGACTCCATTTCCGACATCTGAACCGAATTCAACATATCTATGGAAAAGACCACTCCTTTGATCCGTGGATTTGACTTCACTTTAGCCCTCAAGAGCTCAAAATTTCCGGAACCAAAGACTTTCCTTTTGGTGATGTCTAGCGTTGAGATCATTATAGAGTCGATTACTTTCATATTCGGCAGAGTGTTCACCAAAGCTTGAGATTCATTCATCAGATACTTGGCGTACAAGACATTCATCTGATTGGTTCCCCACTTCTGTCGCGGCATAACTAACAGCACTTCCTGTTTGTAAACCAATGTCTGCCAATTGCTTGGAATCAGTTCCTCGTATTTCATGTCTTTAAACAACTTTTCAAAGTCCAAGTCATTTGTGGTCTGGTTTTGTATGCCTTGTGTCCCATTGGATGACAATCGCAATGATTGCCAAAGAGTGCAATGGTTTGACACTTTCACTGATTTCTTCAAATGTGGCGAAAAACCACTTCTTACGCAACGATTCCACACATGTCTTGACATTTGTCTCATACAAACCATTGATGACTGAAGTGATGACTAAATGATCGCAAAAGTGATGAAAAGAAAACAAATGATGAAAAAGAGGGGAAGAGTTGACGCAAACTCTGAACACATGAGTCATACAGTCATACATGCAATACATGTGCCGATCAGTGAGAGAGCGACACAAACCTCACAACAACTTCACACTTGAGTCCAAATCTTATCTCAAGTGATGTTCACATGAATGACATTTCAGTCACTTTCACACCATATCTAACATGTCTTCAACACATCCAACACTATGTCCACTGATCTCCTGTTCTTCTCTTTAGAGTCTAAAGTTTGGACCACTTTTACAACTGATTCATTCAATTAGAACTCAAAGTTTGTGATCACTTCCCACATGACAATCGGTGACCACTGCCATGAATTTGAAAAATCTGTCGAAACAAGAGTTTGAATGCTTGTCACGACAACTCAAGACTCAATTATCATCCATTGGTTTAGAGGCACATCCCTTCAAAGTATGACATCTTTGTTCATATGAACAACTACCCACTTCCCACTGACCATACTCATTTATTCATTAGTTCTAATTAAGTCCTAACTGTAATCATTATAACACAATGTCTATCATAATGACTGTACAATAGATCCAATGGTATAACCTCATGGTTTCACCCAAATTTCGACTTCCATTCGATGATAATTGCATTGCATTTGCAATCATCAGTACTCCTGATATGTTTGAAATGGCATTCTTGCCATTCCTCAGGAGTAATTTGTTTGACACCAACTCAACCAATGATCCCATCGATGAGTGCATGAAATATCACTTAAACTCAATTAAATTGGTATTCAATTCATTGTAAAAGTATTTTTAATTAAGTTTTAAAACTAATTATTAATTAAAACAATAGAGTTTTTGTGAGTTTGCGGTGGAAGTGATCCATGACTTCGAGCTCTTTATGCCGAACCGAAGGCCCAAAGTGTTGGTGCAGACGGCAGCCCATGTATCCGGTGCTGCCTTTTATTACAAATCCGAAGCGGTTGAGAGCACCGACCCCTCAATCAGACAGTTAGGCGTTTGCATTCACCCGCGTTATGGCGGATGGTTTGCCATCAGAGGAATCGTTGTGTTCACTCACTTGACATATGAGCCGTTAGAACAAAGACAACCCAAAGATGTCATACAAACTGTGGATCTGAAGAAGAAGTTATTGTTTAAGTTTAACAACGAGTGGTTCGACTGGTCCTATCGGGACATAATACCCGTCACCAAAAAGTACAGCGATTTACAAATCAAGTACTTTTCGCTCAAACCCTGCGATCGCAAAGAATTTCTCAATTATTTGATTGATTTTAAAAATTGAATCTAATTTACATATTGTATACATATTTTTGATCACAATTTCTGCCAATTAATTTGTTTTACTTGTCATTTACCGTTAATTTACTCAATAAATATTACGGTATTACTGTATAACTATTTTTTGGATATAACTTATGATTTAATTTGGGTTATACTGTAATTTAATAGTAGAGTACAAATGCATATATTTAAGTTAATGAAACTATAGCTATAATTAAATTACTGTTATTTCTACGGGTATTTTATAGATTGTCGTTATGTTTTAAAATGATTAATGTTTTCAATTTACCGGAATTCATGCAATAAATTATTCTTACTGTACATTCAAAATGTTTGAACATTTTAAAAATCAATAAAACTTTTACAACTTTATGACTGCTGCATTAAATTAATTAAATTAATTATTATTAAGTCTTTTTAATAAAATTAAAATATATTTTAAATTTTATTCATTTTTAATTGATAATTACAATATTTTTATAACGGTAATACTGTAATAACTTATTACTAATAAGAAATTAAATATAGAATAAGTAAGTATGGGAATATTTATAATCAGTTATGATTTTATTGTGAAATATTTTTACACAATTTTCATATGAAGTATTCGTAATGAAAATAATTAGATTATTGAAAACATTTGTGACAAAACTTCCTCAGAAGTCGTTTCTCAGATTATAAGTAATTTAAGGAAAACTATTTCTGTAAAGAAATTAATTATAAAAATTATATTTTCATAATATATTCATTTAATGCAATTAGGATAGTTTTTTTGCATACATTTTAAATAAATTCTTTAAAAATTAAACTTAACAAGTTTATTGTAATTATTTATGTATTGATTTATAAAATAAATTTTATATCATATTCTTCAAAGATATTTAGAATAAAAATGCATTTATCGTAAATATAATTGGTTAATACACAGGAAAGTGAATGTTCAAGTAAAAACAATTTATAATACAGTATATGAATAATTGTGTCACTTATTAGTCATTTGTATTTCACATTGTCATCTAATATCCATAAAAATTAAACACTTTTATGAGTCTCTGACCCTAATTTCTAGGTATTAGGTTTTGAAATGTAAAATCGCTTTAAATGTTTGAAAGCAAACTTTACAATAAGTTTTATGAATTTTTAATTCATTTTCGAATTACTAATTTATTAAGCTAAGAATTCATTAAACTTACTTGTTAATAAATATTTGAACTGGGAGTCCCAATTCAGTGAAATTCACAATAAAATCATTACTTTCTTGCTTTTAGAAATTTGATAAAAGTCAATAAATTTGTTTGATATTAACAGAAATGGTTAGCTAGACAACTTTTATATATTATATTATATTATATTGTAGTAATGAAATGAATCGGGAAAATAAAGCATCACTTTTCCAGTTTGCCATTCAAAATATAAAGAATGGTCAAATATTTGGAGCCAAATCACACTTTTAATACAGTATTGAATCCATTGTCCACAATATATCAAACAACTGTGTGATACTTTTGATTCAAACAAAATATCAAATCCCCAATAGTATTGGGCCAATATAAAGTCAATACATTTGAAAGTATTGTCTGTCAAACAATATTAACAGCCGGTAATCAATTAGAGTTGAGAAGACAAAACCAAATAATGACAACAATTTAGGGATTCTCAGCACATGATTCAACTCTCAATCCAATCCATGTCCCAATCCATGTCCCAATCCATGTCCCAATCCATGTCCCACTCCTACACAAAAGATTCATTGATTGATGAATTTAGGATCCGTTGACATTCCCAACACCTGTTACTCGGCTCAACAAAGAGATATAAATGAGATTTACTTATAATTTATGATTATTTTAAAGATTAATTAATGCTTTATATAAATAACAATATTTTTATTAAAAACGATTATAATTTAAATTTATTTAGATTTGATTTTACTTTCAATTATTTATTGGATTTTAAAACAAAACAATTTAAGTTTTAGGTCCCGATTATTATTATTATTATTTTAACACTTTAGACATAGATTTTCGTCTATAAGGCTAAGACCCAAGACTTTGGGTCTCAATTGTGTATTCAAAGTGATTTTCAAACCAAATTCATATAATTAACATAATTTTTACTTAATTAGAGATCTTGAACTCAGATATTTTACAAATTATTTTCATTTCACAAAAGAGCTGCCGATAAATGAAATGATTTATGCCTTTAATTAAATGTAATGTTTTGAATAATAATTGAATAGATATGAAGATATGACCTAAACTTTAAGGCAAAAGAGGCGTATGTCTTGTATTTTAAATTATTTTCTATTGTCTAAAGTGAGAGATATTTCAATTGACAAATGCATTAATTATCTCTCAATTCGTCAAAACTGTGAGTTTAACGGTTCCAGTGATTGCTTTCAACACTTCAACCGCCTCTTCATGTGTGAGACCATCCAATTGAGTGGTAGACCACTGCTGATCGTCGGCCGACACACTGACCGCCAACAGAATGTCTCCCCTCTTGAGCCGTCCGTCCGCGGCCGCGGCCCCCCTTTCGAACACATTCTTCACACAAATGGGAAGATTTCCGTGAGGACTGCCATAACCTCCAACTATACTGAAACCTAATCCTTCGGATCTGCGCTCCAATACTATCTCCTTCTGCTGTAAAGGCCTGTAAATGATTCAAAATATTCAGTCCTCTATATTCATATCATCTACAGATTATCGTTAATTATATTCTTATCTTAAGCTCAATGAATATGAGCTCAAGAATAAGAAATGTCAAAATGAATGCATGAATTGGTTTTGTGACAGAAATTCAAAGAAATGGCCGAAAAGATAGAAAGTATTATATTCTGACCTTATTATCAGTTAATAGCGTCTGAGTGCACCAAATGATAAAAGCAATTGAAATAAAGTTATCAAAACATATTAGACTTAACACTCACTCGTCAGTTGACATCTCGTCTGACTTTGAAGTCGAGAGGTTTTCCGAGTGACTATGTCTTGCGCCGGCCTTCAGGCGACCGATTTTCAGATTGATTTTGCCGGAAGTGGTCTTTATATGGGAATCAGGGTTAGAATCAATGAGTTTAACAAATAATCAATAATCACACCTTAAGTATAGCCGCCGCGTGAGACTGCGGCGCATCCCTCAAGTCCTCTCCGTTCACCTGATATTCAATTAACAATTGTTTCAATTTAGCTCGTCTTCAGTCAATTCAACTCAATATTAACCTCTAATATCTGGTCGCCAACCATGAGGTGTGGCCGGGCGTCCGATTCAGCAATGCCTCCCTTTACCACTTCAGATATGAAAACTCCAGACCCACTCTTCTTGCCAACAATACTCAATCCCAAGCCTTTTCCAGACTTTTTATATAACTCGATGTCTATTATATCACTGATCTCTTCTTCTTGTGTCTCCGCATTGTCTCTAAAAACAGTTAATTTAATGACAGGCGGTGTCTGTCGAAGGGCTGCAATCGCGCGATCACTAGATTAACAAAACATATAATTATTGCAAATGAAATATTTTCATCAAATTATTCTCAACTGTAGGGCATCTCTTAAATCTTCATTATTAACGGCTAAGATCTGATCCCCGGGTTTCAATCGACCGTCGAGTGCGGCCGCGCCGTCAGGATATACCTCGTGAATGATGACTGCATTCTGTATTTTATATAAAATTAAAATTCAGGAAATGTTTGCAAATCATTGATTGAATTGAAATGCAGACCAGAGGTGTGTCCGAACCGCCGACAATACTGAGCCCTAACCCGAGTTTCTCTTTGACGATCTCAATGGTAGTCTCGCGCCCACCCTTTACTTGACATGTCTTGAGGTCACTGTGTTGTGGATCAGACGCTTCTTTTAGATGAGTGAAAAAAGACTGAGTGTTCGCTCCATAAGAGTCCAAATTAGAAGAAACTAAATGTGTTTTGTGTGTAACAGGTGTGGGAAGTGCTGGAATTGTTTTTTGATTGGCCCGGGATAGGGATCCGTTCGTAGCGGTCGACGTCCGAATCGGGCCGTGCAGTGATTTGTGCACTGTTTGTGGTTTGGGAAGTGTAGGTGGAGGTGCACTGGGATCTGAAATAGAAATCACATTTCGCATGCCTTTATTGAAAAATTATTTATGATTCTGTTATTTAGTTTTCGATATCAAATACTCCATAAGAATCTAACCGATCATTTAGTAATGGCTTATGGCTTATGAATCATTGTTTCTCTGAGGCATGAAATTAACATTTTTCTGGTCTATGATTCGCATATAATTTTATATTTAGATATGAATTCAATTTAATGTCTACAAATTCATTCAATTCTAAACATTATGCTAAAGTATTGCAAACTCATCAACATTTCTATTCATTAATAATTCATTAAGAATACATCAATTGTTTTGATTCCCTGTATTAAGAATCAAATACAAGAATCGCTAATATGTAATAAACATAAGTAATGGCTCATTAGGGAGACTATGGAATGAATCATACATTCTGTAAGATATTAACTACAGAATTACAACATTAAGAATATGAGTTAACAACAAATCCAAATGTGTCTAAATGTATGGAAATCAGAATCTACTCTACTTTATGTAACTTACTATAACTCTAACTACAATTAAGTCAATAAATTCTATGCTTTTATTTCCCTGTAAGATGTGTTATCGCGGGCCTCATATGATTGAATAGTATAGCGATTCCTATCTGTAAACAAAACTAGTAATACGCTTACCGTAAGTTAGTATAAGAGAAAACACATAAAAAGTGTTTCCGTGTGAAAATAGTAGCAAAGATTAAAATAACAAAATAAGTTAATTGATTGGATCGATAAAATGTATGGTAAGAAACAAATTCTCTATTCATGATACAATGTAAGCAAAAATAAATAAATAGAGTAATTACTAATGGATTCTTTTTTGATATCATCGCAAATATTTTCCACGGAATCGCTCTCAACAATCATTTCTTGGAGACTGGATTTGGTTGGTTTTGCGACCACAAGAGTCAGCAATCCCTCCGCACTCTTCAGGGCTGAAGCGGCCTATCATTGAATAAGCGATTCATTAGATCTCTCAACAAAATGTTTTTATGCAACTTTTCATACCATCTCATAGTCGGCTCCAATTAAATCGATTAAATTCACGCATAATATCATATCTCCGACGTTAAGTCCGACGGTAACTATTTTGTGAAATATAATTTAATTTTGGTTATACCGTAATTTAATAGTAGAATACAAATGCATATATTTAAGTTAATGATACTATGTCCATAATTAAATTACTGTTATTTCTACGGGTATTTTATAGATTGTCATTATGTTTAAAAATAATTAATGTTTTTAATTACAAGCGGGACTGCCTTCTTGAATATCCGAAACGAACACTCCTCGACCCAGTTCTGAGTGTTTGCCTTCAATGATCATAATCCCTAACCCTTGAGATCCCTATCAAGAGGTATGAAATTAAGTCATTTACTGTATTATAAAAATGTAAGAATCGCTTACTTTTCTGACAGTTATAGTTCGGACGCCTTTATATTTGCTGTATTTCTCTTCAATAATGTCATCCTCTAAGTGGACGGGAAACTGTGTGAGCGGCTTGACTGCCATCTCATTCAAGGCACCATCTCTTCTGCACATACATGTCATACATGGCATACATTACTTATGTCATTATCTTCATGTCTTAAGCACACAAACCTGAGGGCAATAATCCTATAAACGGGTCCAATAAGACTCTTAATAATTGCTGAAGCATTTAGATGACATCTGCCCTGAACTACAATACCATTCACCTGTAGATACAATTTAATAAATTTAAATTCAAAACAAACGCTAACGTCAATGAATTAAAATCATTGCAAACCTCAAGAATTTCATCTCCAATTTGTAGTCTTCCGTCTTTATAAGCGCTTCCCTTTGGATGTAAACCACAGACAAAAACACTCATTTTGGTCCGGTCTCTATTGCCCGCCAAACTTATTCCCAGACCCGACAGTCCTTTTTGGAGGTCCACTAAAAACGCATAGCCGTTTAAATCGCCGTATTTTTTCTGGACTTTTTCTAAAACAGTATAATAAAAGAGTTTAGTTTAAAATTTATGAGAACATTGAATCTATAAATAAGGTACAGGGACATTAGAATAGGTGAAACTAAACACAATAAACTTAATGGTAGTCTAAAGGAATGGACAAATATAGTGCTACCGATGGGGTTATCATCGGTTGCAATGAGTGAATGACTGGATATTAAAGCAGACATTAATTTCAGAAGAAAACTATTCAATCAAACTTTAAATTCATTTTCAAGTTTTTCGCACAAATTAAAAAAATATCACAAATACTGCCAAATATTAGAATTGAAGGCTTAGTTTGAGTTAAGCTATCATTCCGTATATGAGTGGTCGAGCAAATAGCACCTGATTATTGTTTACATAATTGATTAACAGTTACATCTCTATTAATCAAAAGATATTTAGACTAAATAGTGAATACATAACTATAAATATTGACTCATATTTATTCATTTTCTTTGAGCACAGAATTCATTCATTGAATTCATTCATCAGTGCGTTTAGAGAGAGAAGTGAACACAAAGTGAACACAGAATCGGATACTTCTCTCATCAGAAGGCGGCTAATATTGATCGACGAATCTCTTACTTATAGCCAAAGCCTCCATAAATTCCCTTTTGATGCTCAGATGCTCAGGGTTTGGGAGCACTAAAGGAATAAGCGTTCGCTTAGACGAGTATCGATTTTGTTGAATGAAGTCCTGTTTGTAAGGTTTGTACGGTTTGTACGGTTTGTACGACTGACACACTATTGTCACACACTAAACATATACTCTAATACAATAATTCCCTTTCTAGTTATGCCTTACTATCGATATATTCACACATTTATTGATTGACAAGACATCCGTGAAGAACACCTGTCTTATAGTGACAGTCAAACTGTTCCGTCAAATAAAAACACATCCAATCAATCAAATCATTCAAATTGTTTCATAAATTTTATTATATTCTTCAAGTAATTCATATCTAATTTAAATATTCATGTTTACTAATAGAATATAACTTTAAATGTTTGGAAACAATACTAAACAATAGGAATGGAATAGGAATTTGATTTTTATATCAATTATTAGAGTAATTACTTGAAGAGTATCCGAACTCATCTTCTTTAAGGTCTTCTTCATTTGATTCTTGTATTTCAGTTGAACTCAATCTTATGTTTCCAGCACTGGATCTATCGATCTGTCAAACAATCTATTGATTCCTAATTCATAAAAATATTTTTCAATACCTGAACCCCTTTGGAAGTCCTAATCTTTCCGGTCATATCTCTTCCATTTAAATCAGCCTCGGATTCAGTCACTTCTTCTGTCATTTCCTTTGAACATAAATTTTCTTAAGTTTAAGCAAAAGCTGCAATAAAAACTCATTTTACATTTAAATCCAGAACTGCAACCCCAATGTGTGAATCTTTATCATCAGTGGTTAGGGACTCAATGGGAGCACTAATTTGAGGCGAACTACACAAGTCATCGCTCGCTTCAGAACCTACTTCTTCAGCCACAGACTCAACGGCTGCTAATGTGGCGCTCGAGGCCATAGAGGTCTCGGTTTTATTCATTAGATTGGAAGCATTGGAAGCACTGTCTTTGCTCTGATGGCATATGAAATAAAATTTATGTTTCATTTAATTCACTCAAAACATACTATACTATGAATTATATGCTTACAAAAGGCAATAGGCTTTGAACAAGAAAATTGATGGGATTGTTGGCATTTTTGATGGCATCGACTGCCTTGTCGTGAGTGGCCTCTCGCAGATCCACGCCATCGACGCTCAGAACGCGGTCTCCACTCTTGAGTGTACCCTCGCGTCCGGCGGGACTGTCGGCCAAAATGTTTTTAATGAAAATACCGGAAATCGAGTTTCCGAGAGACGTGTTGAAGAGTTCCACTTTTCCGCCCACAATACTAATGCCTAATCCTTTACTCTCTTCGCGGATCAATTGAACCACTCTTTCTTCACCCCATTGTCGCGTTACAGTTGAGGTAATACTGGCGTTGTTTGTGGTGTCACTACTTGTGGAACCAGTTTCTGGAGAAACAGATTGTTTGTCACTATCACTACATATTTGGTCCATTGGATGCTTTGGGCTCTTTTGAGGCACTTTTGACTTTCGCGGAGACACTGATGCCATAATAGAAGTTAGCATTCAATTACTTAAATCATACATACATTGCATTCATAATTATATATATAAATATATTTTTACTAATAATGAGTCAACAAATAATTTAAACAAAAGATGTCTAAATTGAGCTTAATTTTTGATTCAATTATATTAGTACTAAAAATGAGCAAGATAATCTAAATTCTGATTTATAGTGATTAGCGGTGGTGTGAGCTAAGCCTAAACGAACCTTTTGGTGACTCCTTATGTGATATTTGTGTTATTGATTCAAATGGTGGTAATTGTTGAGATGATTGCGGTTTAATAAGACTATCATTTGAACTCAACTCTTGTGGTCTCACAACAAACTCATTAGAAGTCAAGTTTGTAGTGATCTCTTGTGCATCGAGTAAATCGTTTGAAGACTTTAATAATGGCTTAAATGAAGTAAAGGAAGTGATCTCTGATTGATTGTATAAAGTGTTTGCAAAGGGAGGCATCGGATGTGTTTGCGGTGGAGTGGAGGCCACGGATGAAACTCCCGACCGATCGCCGCAAGAAATGTCTACTTCGCTGTCGCTATCACTTAGTTTGGGTCCGAAATATGGAGATCTGAAACATTTGGGCTGTTTTTTAGTCAATTCTCAACAGTTATAAGACATTCATGGAAGTGATATGATATATGCCAGTCATACCGATAATAATTGGGGAAAATCCTTTGTAAGCATTTTTGATAGAAAAAGTTTTTTTCGTAAGAATACAGTGTTTCAAAGGAATGGCATTTCATATGAAATTTCGATAAAATCAAAGTTTTTTGAAAAATAAATGTCAAACCAAATGAAATGAATTTATGTAATCAAATGATTGAACAATAGATATAAAGCTAATATATATTTTCCACGAAATCGATATGAAAATATCAACAATTAATCACTCAAATCATGATATAAAACATAAAAATGGCAATCCCTTAAAGGTTTTATACTTTAAAAATCATATATGTAATCTCATAAACCAGAACCGATATAATCATAAAATATAAAGAATTTTTTATTAAAAATCTTGTGTTACAAGAAATAATTTAATGATAATGTATTTCAGTAAGAATAAACCAAATTCTACTTAATATTTGAGTAAACAATCAAAAATATGTATGAGTACAACACGAATAGCATTCAATTTCTAGATTTTCATATTTGTTGTCCATTTGTATCAATTCTGTGATATTAATATAAACGTCTAATATTTCAATGAGAAATGTTGTGTAATATGAATGTAATAAAACAAATCAGTTCATAATAGAGAACAACTATTGTGAGTACTAACAGACCAGAATATATATTGATTATTATGAGATCAAAAGTACTGATTGTTTGACTTTTAGGCAAAATTGGGTAAAATATCAAATTAACAAATTTTAGGCACTAATTAGAAATATACAAAAAACATCACAGAATAGAGAATGTTATACAGAATATGTATAGATTGACACAAAGCCGACTAAATATGAGTAAATATAGGCTATATAGTGAAGTGAACTTTGATCTTTATATCATAATATTTACTAAAAGTATTAGAGAATACAACCATAAAGAGTATTATAAGAAATTTATCTAATATATAGTCAAATTGGGTGTATAATTGATTAGACTAATTTCTTATGCATACTATATATGATAATTTAGTATAACTGTATAACTGTGAATATTAAATAACAACAAATGTTTAAAATAAATGAATACAAACAAATAAACATAATTGAATCTCTATATCTATATACCGTAAGAATTTCTTAATGAGAAATGTTTATAAATATAGTTTAAGAATTTATTTGAATCATGGCTCAATTTAAAATATTATGACAATAATAAAAATAATTATCTTAAAAGCAATGCATAAAGATTAGGCCTCATAATATACTGCTTGAAAAATATAATAAATTTCTAAATAATATGATGAAAAAAGATTATAGTTATAAATATGACATAAAATACTTTCAGACATAAAGATTACACAGAATTTAATCTAAATTAAATAATCAATCAAATATTTAAAAACTTATTACTGTATATTATAAAGTATTGAAATAAAGATTTTTCGGTTCATGTACTGTATTAATATAATCTCATAAATAATAGTGTAATAGTTTTTGTCATCCAGAATATTCTGTGGAAATGACTTTCTAAATGAGAAAAACGCAAAATATATTTATATTTAATAATAAATGATATGAAATGGAAAATATAATAGCCTCAAAATATAGTAATTTTCAAATTGAATATTAATGGAAATAATAATGAATTTATACTTTAAAATCATATAAATTTGATGTATTATACCGTAACTCGATATAAAAAATATTATGCAAAATACATGTTAATCAAAAAGAATTCAAATCAACAAAAAAAGTTTTTATTGAAATAAATAAATAATAATAATAAACAAAGAATTACTCATAGAAATATTCTGGATTAGTTTCATAAAATAATCAAAAGGAAATTTAAACAAAACATAATATTAATAATCGGGTCATATATATAATAAACTGATTATATTAGCAATCAGAGTATAAAGGGACAGACCTGGGGCTGGGGGTGCGGCGCAGTAGTGGCAGTAGAGAGGGTGAGGTTCGTTCAATAGGAGGCGTAGGGCTGTTGTGTTGCATAGATAGGGCCAATTGAAACGATTGTTTGTGAACCTCGGCATCGCTCGCAGGAATATATTTGAAACTAAAAATATAGTGCAAAATGAATACAATTGTCAACTCATTATAAGTACAATTCAATACATGATTTCATTGCCAATAAGTTGTGCTCTTCTAAGGATAGCTCTGGCCTTAGAATTAGTGATATTTCTGAGGCTTTCGTTATTAATGGACAGCAGATAATCGCCTCTTGAGATGCGTCCGTCGCGAAAGACAGCACCCGTTTTGCTGGCATTCTTGACAACCATACCATTGACGCCTCTATCGGCCAACTCGAGGGTCAGACCTAACAGTTGATTAATGAATGGAGTATGAATTAGTTTGCATGACTTGTATAGCGTATAGCAAAGAGTCCATTACCTAGAGGTTCGGATCCTTTTCTAATTTTGATAGTCCTTTCGAGAGCAGCCGGTAATGGAATGGCAGGTGAGCTATGATATGAAGGACTGGGAGATCGCGATCGCGAAGAGCTGTAGTCAAGAGGGGTTGAGCTCCGGGACTCACTAAACACTAGATTACTGGCACTGTTTGTCGGAGACGAAGATATGGCAAAATTGTTTCGATCTCGCGATACGTTAGACATTAAGTGGTCGGCTAAGGACACGGCGCCCGAAGAGATCTGCGATTCAACCGAATTCACCGAATTTATGGACTCCTGTCGCGAGACTTGGCTTTTCGCGGACTACATCATTGATAACAACAAACATTTTTGAGCCAAACATTCGACAAGAAGTCGTTAAACATTGCAAACAAACCTTTGATTCCTCTTCAGGTCTCAACGACTGGATGGCAATCGATTGAAGTGATTGTTCGCTCGGATTAACTGATTGATTATCTAAAATGTCAATTGTCTGGCCCTGTATTGACTGATCTGTCACTTGGACTGAACTCTTGAACTCCTCGATTGAAAAACGCTGTAAAATGTTTGAATCGATTATGGATTGGATTCAATGGTTTTTAAACAAATAATTCAAAACTAGATTTAATCGAAAATCTATTTATTGATAATTAAAAGCAAAGGCAAGCCATAGACAAGAATAAGACCTAATCATGAGTTTTCTTATAATTATTTCATTTCTAATAAGACTTCAGTTATAATACAACAACAGTCGTGACTACTGTATCAGATCTATAAGATATTGACATTCATTTGTTATTTAATTGGTTTTCTGTAACAATGAATTCAATGGATTGTCGTTTAATGTATATTAAGTAAAAGTTTGTAATTGTTTTACATGATTTTGTGAATTGTTTTCAAATTTGTTTTTATATAATTTTGTCCACATAATGAAAATGATAATTTTTATTACATTTACAATTGTATTGCTTTTGATCGATATTTGTTCTAAAATTTGTTACAATTTTTTGTATATTTAATTAATTAATTAATAATTTCTGATTAACTAAATGATGAAATAATTTGTGACAACATATAAAATCATTAATGAATGGGAATGTATTGCATAATATAAATGCATTGGTCAACAAAAAAGAGTTACTACTAATGATGTATATATTTATACAATGTATGCAATTATAATGATGTTGTTCTGCATAAGATGTGATATACCTGTGCCGACACACTAACAAAAAATAGAGTAGAATTGAGTTCAGAAGCTCTCAGAAGCTTCAGAAGCTTCAGAAGCTCTCAGACTTATATAAGGAGGAGAGAAGAGTCGAAGAAGTGGACGCCTGTATTGCTTGCAAACCGGAAGTTAAGCCCCGATCCCTATACAATGCACTTGCCTGAGCCGAGTGACTAAAGTCACTGACCTGACTATTCGTTGGGGATTGTATGCAGTGAATGGTGCCGGTGCTCTCGGGCAGCGGGAGTGGCTTTGCAATTCCAATTACAACCGACCCCTTACTGGCCGTCTTCAGCGTTCTCACCGCCACATCCAAATCGTTGGTCACCGTGTCGTTCACGAACAATAGCCTATCCCCTGGAATAAGTCGGCCGTCCTGTTGGGCTATACCTCCGGGAACGAGAGATCTGATAAAGACAGGTGCCATTCATTAACAGTTAACCACTTGTTTAATTGAACACTGCATTAATCCGATCCATTCATACCTAATGACAATCACAGTTTCCGTGGGATTCATCGGATCCTATATTAAGACAGAAATTAGAAAAACTGCGAACAAAACAAAGCCTACGATCGCTCACCTGATAGTCCAAAATACTAAACCCTAACCCTTTGTCACCTAATAATAAAACATCGAATAAGTCTTAAATGAAACTTAAATTAAGTGCTAAACAAGCCTTTGATTAATTCGATTAATTCGACTTCGGATGACCACATGGCCAGTCCTGTCAGCGGTTCTAATGATCGGGACTTCATCTTTGATAAGTCAGAGGCGATTGAAACGGTGGGCGCAGTCATCGCAAGGGAACCGTCCGATTTTGCTTTGACTAGTCGTTCACTGGAGGGCACAATCGAAATGAGGCTATCATTCATTGCATTGAAATCTAATTCCGTTCGAGAAGTTGAGCTCTGGTTGTCACCAGCGATGGCATCGAAGTTGACTAAAATATCACGATTTAAAGGTCGGGCGCAAACCATTTGCACTTCAGTTGACAAGTCTTTAAGTAATGGCACGACATCTGAATGACTCATTCCGTGAAGTTGTGTTCCGTTGACCTAACGATACAAAAGCAATACAAAAGTGATGTCATATTCATGACGGGATGACCTAAAGGACCATTACCTCCAATAGTTCGTCTCCACTCCTGAGGATTCCATTAATACCGACGGGTCCGTCGGGCAAAATGGATCGGATGTAATGATGGGGTCGAACTTCATTGCCGTTCTCTACATCTACCGTTCCTTCCAATGAGATCCCGAGTCCCGGACCCTCTCGTACAATATTTGCAATCTAGAGTGTGTTCAATGGTTTAGTGTTTATGTGAGAGAATATGTTGGCATCAAAACGAACCACAATCTCAAAATTGGGACCAATTATGTTCTGCCACTTCTCTATAAGCTCTGCATTAGATTTCGACACACTTTTCGAGATGCTATCACTACTGGCACTCAGGGTTTGGCTGTTCTGACTCAAGTCAGTTGACTGGTCGTAAATTTGGATAACTGTAGCACCTGGTTGTGGGTAATAGGGAGCCGGTAGATCAGGGCTGGCAATAGCTTGTTGCAACTGCTCATATTTAGAGCCTCTCAGATATCGGGCTAATCGCAGTTTCACAACTTTCCCGGTGTTTCGCAACACCTCAACTGCTTGATGATTGGTATAGCCATACAGTGACCGCCCGTCCACCTGTTTCGCAATTTTTAGATTAATCCCCTTAGATATGGATAAATAAATAGAAAATTTATGAGAACACAGACCTCAATAATTTGGTCATTGATTGAGATTTGCTTTGAGAGGTCGGCCACACTTCCCGGTGCTATGCTTTTGATGAAAATGCCAGAAATTTCTTCTAAATAAATAAACAAAACATTATTATAATAAAAGCAATAAAAAGAGTACTTTTGAGGTTTGAATGGCATTGTAAGCAAAACCAAATGACTGCCACAACACACAGGACTCGCATAAAAGAGAGTTCTGTACTAACAGTACATTTCGGGCGGAATTCAAATGAATTATAAATAAATTCAACACTCATTTGAATAAAAAATTCATTTGATGGTTGAAAGAAAAACTAAATGGTTTAGTGTATGCGTGACATACCCTTCTCGCAGACATAGCCAGCTATAGTGATGCCCAATCCCTGTTGATCTTTGATTAGTTCCACTTCAAAGGTTTCCATTTCAGGCAAGTCATCGGCAACGATAGGGCTCTCACTGTTCACTTGGACCTCAACTTTTCGATTGACATTCGCCACAACCGATGTATTGCCAGCACTTACTGTCACTTCTGAGGTGAGTATTGGTGTCGGCGTCTGAAGCTCTGATGGAGGGCTCTGTCAGACAAATGCCGTAAAGGTTACCATTAAATAACATTTCATAATACAGTAAATACGAAATGAATTAACACATAAACTTTCATTCAAATAATTTGCGCACAAATGTGTGACACGAAAGTGTCATTATAGGAGAGATCAATGTTTTTTAATTCAAACAATTATTGTTTAAATCATTTATTCTTAATTAGCAAAGAAATTAATGACATCAACATTTTGCTAAGATCTCTAAATTAATTAATTAATTAGTGAATTAGTGTCAATTAAGTTTGAGAGTCGTGTCAATGTTCTAACCATTAATTTATCAAAATGTTAGCTAAAGAGTTGTAATGAAAAGAGTAGACAACTTATACTTGTATTGACTTTTGAAACAATTTGCAGATTAAAAAGTTTTGTGTTTTTTGCCAAAAATAACACTCAAATACAAATTTGAAACATGATTTGACGTGAATTATGAAAATAACTCATCCAATGCAAACATTTTTAAGAAGTCATCTCATTATAAAAGCAATTTTAAAATAAATGACTTTTTCATAGAAAAAATATTAAAAAGTAAATGATGCGAATAATACAAACCGATAGTTAATGTAGAGTAATAATTTAATAATATATATAAATATAAATATATTTGTTTATATAATTATGAACCATTTAAGAAGATGTTTAAAACAATACTTTGATTTAATTATCATAATTTAATTGAATTATAAAGTGATTGCAAACAAAATACTCTTCGCATATAACTCTTAAAAATCATGTTTTCTCCGACAAAAACATTTAATATTCAATTAAAAGATTATTTAATTAAAAGCTCGACAACAATATAGCATTTAATAAGATAACAGAGTCGTACAAAACATATATCAATTAAATACATTTAAACAACATTAATAAATAGAGGTATTTATGTAATAAAACGTGACTCGTATTGAGTGACAATTTGTAAATGTCTAACAAATGTGTAGAAAGTGTTTCGAAACAAACCATTCAATTGAATGCTTGGCAGAAGAGCTCACAAAACACACGCAAACGCACCTCCAATGGACACAACCTCCACTTCCAGTGTCATATATATTAACCATAATATTGACTAATATACACACTATTACTCTATAGTCTATACTGTATTGTATTGTATAAGCATTTCTAACTCATATTTCATTTAATTAATTATTCAAAACATACCCCATATATTCAAAATTATATAATTTATATTGTTCTCAATCATTTTAGAAAAATACTCGAGTATAGCATAAAGTTAAATGTACATTTAATGCAATGTATGACTTTTCAATGAACACAAAAGTAAAAGAATATGTGTTTATATAAAGCTCTATAATTAGAGTTCACTTCAAGATCTTATAAATTATTTAATCATCAGATAAACACTAAATCACTTAAAAACATCTTCTAATATAAACCAATTATTATTTGCTCTCAACACAAAACATTTGAAACAATTTTATAATATTACCAATTCCATAATACTGTATAATAAAACAAATTTATTATTAGAAAACTCATCAAAAGTAGAATTTTTTAGTTTAAAGGTTTATTTATTTTTGTTGACATGAGTATATATAAAGTTTGCATTTTCTATAAAAAAAAGCATCAAAGCGATTTCACAATTTATAGAATATTAAAAAATAAGAACATGCAACTTAATATTATGACTACAAACTATTTAATCTAGGTTTTTGAAAGGTTAGAGTTCAAAATGTTTTGTATTGAAAGCTTCTGTATTATATTGATATAACATTATATAATACAAAACTAAATTAAATTTACAAAGAAACCAAATGATTGTGGAAAAATGGTCTATGTTTTAAGTGCAACTATAGGGCTTAGAAGAATCTTGGAACTTTAGAAAAGTGGTAAATACAATTAGTTATGCCAATTTGGTTATATTTTAACTTTCAAACATAATAAATATTAAATCACGACCTTTCCCCAATAATCTTGGCATATCACATAAAAATGGCATTAAAATTTAATTCATGTTGATCATTAAATCATAATACTTTTATCATGTTAAAACACTATACTCATTTAAGATTTGTTTAATAATTGACTCTATATTAAATACATGATAGTTAAATAAAGTAAAAATGCTACTAAAAATTGTATCTTAAAATATTTTGGTAAATTGTAAAAATTGTAAAAATATAAATCTATAACTTTATAAACATCGAAAGAGTGAAAGCAAGCATTTTTCAAAAAAGTCGACTCAAATCAAATGTCAAGTCATACTGTAGACACAATTTAAACAAATAGTTATTGATTTGAAAGATTGAAAGTTCACTATTTGAGAGAAAATGTGTTTATTTGTTTTAAAGACGTTTTGTGTTATTGTAAGTCATTTACGTTTCTCTGAATCAAAATGATTTAAAACAACAAAATGTTAGATATTATAATGAAAGCCAACAGACAATTAATTCATCAAATAATAAAAACAAAATATTGAACACTGGCTGTTAGGCAATACAGAATTTAAAGATGCGGACATTTCTTATAAAAACTTCTTGAAATATGTTTAAACAAAAGTATGGACTCACGTGAAGGTCTATTCTAGCGATTTGTTGCGTTTCAATGGGAATGGAAGTGATGGATCCGATGGGTATATCGGATTCGTGGCCATTAGTGAATGGCGTGATTGGCGTCGACGGCACATCTCGAGGCAGTTCTTGTGATTGTTGCTAAACAGTCGTAAAATCATGTCATGAAATATAGCCACACAATAGGTGATTGAAATACCTGTTGAAATATTGTCAAATGATTTTCAACTTTTTCCGCGTCCATCAGGTCTTTGGTCGGAACGATAGGAGCACTGCTTTGGATGACCTGCAGGTCAGACGTGGGGTCGACCGGACGCGCCACTACGAGCCGCACGTGAGCACCAGTTAAGCGCAGCACTTGTGCCACTTGGTCTGAACCCATTCCTCTGAGGTTAACGTCGTTTATCTGCAGAATATGGTCTCCACTTTGCAACCGATTGTCCTAAAACAAGGCGTTCATGAATCAACAATAATTGTAGACATTGCGGCACACATACTCTGTCAGCAACACCTCCCGGAACCAATGTCTTGATGATCACACCAGTACTTCGGCCACCGATTATTCCAAAGCCAAGCCCTGAGCCATCGTTGTCGAGCTCTATGGCCTCGATTTGTGCCCATTCCGTGTTCAGCACCATATCGTTTGAATCTTTAGAGCTATCACTAACTCCTGAGGGAGACCTCTCTATCAACACATCCGATGGATTGGCCAACAATTCAATAGAATCGCATGACTTTGATGTCTGTCCCCGAGCAATCACTAGTTCCACAATCCCATGTGCGCGTTGTAGGATATTTATAGCCTCTTCATGTGATATATCACTCGAAAATGGCTGCCCATCGATGGCTAATATCTGATCTCCTTTTTGCAAACCTCCATCCCTTTTGTCAAAATAATATATTTTTAAATTCTATTAATTTTCACATTTTAAAAATTCATACAAATTATATGCAAACTAAGTTCCTATAAAATCGCTTATTCCTAAACTATACAAATTAAAAATAATCCAAAATATACTTTATTTCTATTTTCAGTGGAGAACTGAAAGGCACTAACTGCGGGCAAACTGCTAGCTTTTAGTTATTTGTTCTAGCACACAAACTATATGTCCTAGATAAATTTTTAGTGCACCGTTAGAAAGAGTTATAAAATAATGGAAACATGATATTAATGATTTTGATCACAACTTAATAGTTTTAGCACATGAAGCTAATCAGATAACACAATAATTTTTAAAATTACAATAATAGAAATATTTTAAAGGTATCATTTGGAAAATATAGGCAATTTAATTTAATTGGTTTCATATTTGTAGGAAATTTGGGTTTCACAAAATTTCCATTTCAATGTATATTCAAATTCATTAATAATAGAAATATTTTAAAGGTATCATTTGGAAAATATAGGCAATTTAATTTAATTGGTTTCATATTTGTAGGAAATTTGGGTTTCACAAAATTTCCATTTCAATGTATATTCAAATACATTAAACAATAGTTTACACATTTTAACCCATTACATAAAAATTAATATGTAGTTTTTTTTATTAAAATATCAAAACAAATTTCCTACAAATATCATCCATAGTCCGTTTGAAAGCTTATGAAACCTACTTCCATTTTAAAATTCAACACTTTTACCTAGCTCCTATTAGTCACGGGCAATTTATGTTTAAATTATTTACTATTGATTTTTACATTGGATTCAATGATTTTCAAAAGATTACTGTTTCAAAACTAGAAATCGTTGCAAGGTGGTTTATAGCTTAAATGAAAGCTTATACTTTCGGCTTTAATTTGTATATTTTAGATTTTACTCTGTTACTATACTGTGACTATGACATTCGCGTTGGTCCAAAATATTTATTGAAATACTTGAGTCACCAGGGTGGTTAGTATGTCAAAAGAACACAATTAAATGATAGTTTAAAATAGTTTTTACAAAATTGATTTATCGCAAGAAACATAGGAATACGAGCAAAACCTAGCGTCCTTTTTTGGATTCATCTTATATCTTTATAAAGACTATTTTAATCTTGATGAAATCATTAATTTAAATATTTACATCAAAATACTTATTCAATGTCTCACACTATCAGATATTTAAAAACAAGATATTTAACACGAATTGCAAATATTGTATTCATTACTGTATTATACATTATTGTATATCATTTGACAGTAAAGCAATTTAATACAAAATCTAACATTCAAATTCCCAGTGCATTACAATATACTGTAATTCAAAAATTTATGAAAATTGGTAAGATCCGTAAGGATTTTATTTATATATTATATAAAGAATATATTAAATATTTATAACACAAAACTTTAAAATCAAGTATATAGTAATGTATTTCCATAATATTTTAAATAAAAGTATCATATAGAATACAAATTTTAAGTTTTAAATTAAAACTTTTAGTATAAATTTTCAAATAATTTAAATAAAATAATATCTATTTGAAAGTAAATATAATTTCAAAACTCACATACAGTAAGTCAAAAATAAACAAGTGTAATAAATAATAACCTGTAATTAAATAGTCGTTGGCTATAAAAACATTTGTTTAAAACAAATAGAATACTAATAATATAATAAATTAAAGATTCATAACATTTAATATATTTTATTTATATTTGCAATCAATTCAAAAATATGGAACGAAACGATTGTTGAAGTATTTGCTTAGAAAGTGCATACTTTGGCTAAAATACCTGTTTGTATAGTTAGGTCAACTGTATTTATTCAAACAATTAAACATCAACAGAATGCACAGAATAAACAAAATTCTTAATCACTTGAGAAACAAATGTACGAAAATAGTTCATACATTCATTTCAATTTATATTGAAATTATTTTTTAAAATTCAATCAATTATCAATTTTGAAAAGACTTCATTTAAAGACTTTAAATCATTAATTTAATGTAACATTATTAAGCTAGATACTATCTATCTATTTAATATATATATTCTTGTTACTCCTGAATATTACTCCAATTATTTTAAATTCTCAATTATTAAGAAGCGTTCATTTCAATTGAATATTTTTACATTTATGTTTATTTCTAATATCAATTTCTAATAATGTTATATTATACAGTATGTTTTTAGAAATTTTTAAAAATTATTAAATTTATTTTTGTATAAAAATATGACAAATCATTTTCTTAATTTAATCATTACACTAAACAGTGCAATGTATGGGTACTTATTGAATCCACATAATACTGTATTATATTATAGTCAATTATTACTTAATTAAGTATTAATTAATTAAGAATATACTATATACTGTATACTATATATATAAGCAATATTTTAGCTTAATTAAACCTTGATTAGTTTGCACATTTACTATCACATTACAAAGGTTTAAAAAATAGAGATTTAATTAAATGCAAAGAATAATAATTGAAAGCTTACCTATGAATTGAATTTAAATATTGTGTCTAAAATTTGTTAGTCTGTCGGCACAGGTAATCACAACACAAACAGTACAAATACAATGATGATGCTAATAATTATAGTTTATATACAATATATAACAAGTTTATGAGATTATTATTCATCATCTGATGATTAAATTATTGGATAAGAATCTCATGTTTCGAAAGGATAGCGAAAAATGAAAACACTTCATAATATTAGTTAAGAAAACATCGACTCGTTTTGTTTCGATAGCAATCATTTCAAGTCAAATGCAAATATGATATTAATTTGAAATAAATATTAAAAGAGTGAATTAGAGCACAATTTTTGGAGCTCTCATCAAATATGGGACTCTTATGAGGAATAAACCCACAGAAATGTCCAACACTTCAGACACACATTACGCAAGTCTGCAGTTATTCATGAATAAGACTACTGTAGTGTTTGTATGGAATGCCCGCACCGTTGCCACCACTCCCACCATCACTATATAATCTCAAGAATATTCTTCTAATAGGCATTCAATTGATTACTCACTAAAAACATAACTTTAAAATAATAACATTTCAATTGAATGGAGACAACACTACAAGAATTGGACACATTATAAGCACTCAATTTGATGACCAAATCTCACACAAACCCATCCAATGATACACAACCCGTACCTCAAGTTATGTAAACCTTTTGACTACAGACTGCAACTGCGCTTCACTTTACAAATGCTATCGATTTTTAGATATAATTATATATTATTATATTTTTTTCATATCAAAACTTCTTGTTTTCCAATACAACATCAAACAGAGATGTAAACTTTTGTCACAAACTTCAGGCAAACAAAATTATTTCTAATAATTAGTGTTAATTTTCTCATTAATTCTGTGCTAAGAATTTACATATGAGTTCCTATGAGTTATTATCATAGTTTACAATCATTTGGCAAAATATAAAATAAAAAGCGACAAAATGTTAAATTTTGTCTTAAAATAAAATCTTTGAATAATTAGTTTCCTTTTCTAACGTCTAAAATAGATTGAAAGAAAGGGAGGTTTCGGTTATGATATAGTATTACAAGAGATTATTAATCGTTATCTATTTTATGGTAAATATTTCGTTGAAATATATGCTAATTTGAGTCAAAATATTAAATTAGGAAATTTGAGTAAAAGTGTGGTTGAGAAAAATTTAAATTGTTTATAAAATATAAATAAATGCTGAAAAACATAAGGAGGAAAAGAATGGATAAATGAACAAATAAATACAAGTAATCATAATTATATTACATTTATTTCTCTAATCAGTATTTAATGAACGCCAATTAAAACTTTATGTTAAAATCAAATTGTTTTCATAATGATCACATTTTCTACACAACAATTCTTTGCTAATTTGGAAACTAGTGATTCAAAAATGCAAATAAATTGAAGTAATTTAAATGTAGAAAAATTTGAGAATTGTGTTATAAAAAAGCAATAAAATATTTATGCAAAACTGACAGACCAAATAAAACTCAAAATTTTGCTAATTTTCCAAATGTTATGCTTTTTATTTGATTAAAAAAAAGGCAAATAAATTCAGCGTTATATTGTAAATTTAATATTTATATCGTATTTAGTAGATTACTAAAATATAAAAAGAGGTAATAAAATGTAAAATTTAATAAATTATAAATATCCAGCAAAAATCGCATTTCACTTTTAAAAAATCATATCTACCGGTAATTTGAAAATTATTCTCATAATACTTGAAAATCCAATATGCCTTTTACCATAATTGATCTTAATTTAAATATATCTAATTGCTAGTTAAGAGCAAACTATTTCTATGAAACAAAATTCTCAAAGTTTAATTTATTTAAATCTAAACAATCATTTAAATTAGATGCTATTCTAAATGAGATTTATAAACAAAACAAGAGATCTCTTAAACAGAAAAATAAATGAGATTTATTGCCAAACTATAGCATTAAGAACAATAACTATACAATCAACTTTATACTTTTTCATGCTCTCTCTCTCTCTCTCTCTCTCTCAAAATAATTGCATTTTTAATAAGAATTTTGTATCTGTTCGCATAGCGGGAATAAATATGAAATAAACTCACATTTCGCAAACTTTTAAGTTAAGAATTTATGATTTTATTATTTTGTGCAAATATTAGTGTTTTTAATTCGTAAATAACTTATTAGTCATCAAGTAAATAATCTTTAATAAAATAATGAGATGCTGCAAAAAACACCATTACCTCATGAATGTAACGATTGATTTCATAGCAATCATTCAATATTGTGTTTGCGATTCACCGATAAATAAATGATTGACTGAGTGCTCAAAATATCTTAGAGTTTATGCTTAAGAGCCGCACCCAAAGTAATAGTCTTTTCATAACTCATAAAATGTCAATTCAAATGCAAAACTACTATAATATTAAAGTCATGTATGAAAAACAAAACCGTTTTATATAAAAATCTCATAATTTATAAATAGTATAAAAACCATTAAATAAAATTAAAGGCAAACTAAGAAATATTTTCTTTTCGCAAATAAAGGGTATATTTGTTTGAAAAGAAATCACAAATAATGTTCACAAACCTGGCGGCGATGCCATTGCTATGGATGTCCTGGATATAGATCCCGAGCTCATCCGTCAACTCATTCTTCATGCCGACGACACTGAAGCCAAGGCTGTGTCCGTCGGGTTTATAGAGTTGTATTGTCTGCACATTACGACCGGCCGCTGATTCGGACAGACATTTGAGCAAACCTTCGGCGTTATCGGTGGCCATCGTTGACAGTGAATAAGCCGGATATGACACCCGTCCCAACTGTTCCCATACGACAATACAACACATGGTTAAGAGGCAAAAGAAGTGATAAAAAGGGAGTGCCTGTGAATACCTGAGCAGATATATTGACATAATCGGGCTCTGGTTGAGCGCACAACTCATTCATGTGATTGGTTTGACGGACAGCCAGTTCTGGTCGACAGTCAAACTCATAGCTCTGTTCGGGATCAGAGGATGGCTCGTATGAATCTGAGTTGGCGGCCGTCACGTGATTGGGTTCGGGCGGAACACTGAGCACGAGGTGACCCGTGAGGGGGGAGATGTCGAAGTCGACCGGAAGTATCGACGGGTGTCTCAACAGCTGCTCTTTCAGCTCATCAATCGATTCCTTCGAGTAATCAAACGTTTGTCAAAACACTTCAGTTGTCTCTTAAACACTTCAGTTGTCTTATAGTCTATGAATACCTGAATTGCTATAATACTGGCAAACACTGGACACTGGAGGACAGTTAGCAGAGTCTTGAGATCATCCTTCAGATTACTGCCATTGGATGAGTCCTTGTGTTTCAAGTTNAGTTGTCTCTTATAGTCTATGAATACCTGAATTGCTATAATACTGGCAAACACTGGACACTGGAGGACAGTTAGCAGAGTCTTGAGATCATCCTTCAGATTACTGCCATTGGATGAGTCCTTGTGTTTCAAGTTGTGGTCAATCCTCTCCAAGAGATGTTTGATTTGATTGATATCTAATGGGAGTAAATGTTTGACAATTGGTTAGACGTCTTAAGGGACCCAAAGAGCGCACATTATCTATACCTTTAGTTACGGTCATAATTGAGACAATGTGTCAAATGATACAAAATTCAAATCAAAACATAGATTCAATCAAATACTGCAAACAGGGATCAAGTCATGCATTGGTGGACACAATCCTTAATGTCCTGTCAATGAAAACAATGCAAAATAATGAACAAACATTGAAAACTAATTATAAGACAATTTAGTGATCACTCAGACATCATGTGATATATTCATGACTGTTTGGATACTGTGTGAAGAGTTGGTGACAAAAACTCTTCAACGGATCCCATAATAAAGCGTTTGATTCAATGAATACATGTTTGACTTGCCTTTGGGTTCAGTCATTGTGTTGATTGGAAACCATTGGATAACAAATGTGTATATATTATAAGAAATAACAAATAAAAATGATGTCTATGTATATAAAAAAGGAAAATTAAAATGATTTATAAAGCGATTAAAATGAAAAAACTAAACAATAATTGAATAAAAATGATGAGCAAAATATGACAGTCAATACTGGACTCAAACCTATTTATTATACAATACACTATAAATAGTGAAATTGTTTCACCATGCACATTCTCCACAATAGATGGCAATCACAATACAATATTGGTGAAAATATTTTTCTTTTATCAAGCTTCATTTGTTCAGTTCTAAAAGTTTTAACTTTTACTAACTTATTTGACTATAATTTAATCATTATATAGCATATTAATAGAGAGTTGCGTTTAATAATAACATGCTTGCGATCGTCAACACTTCAGTTAAATGATACCTGGATTAGTTATCAATTCATATTATAATTACTAACAAAATCAATTTACAGGTAACATTATCTTATGGGCATAAATAATACTTTATATTTGACAATTATTGTGAGATACCGATGCATATTTTTGTGTTCAATTCTAAATAAATAAACAATGTGAGATTTATAAATAGCAAATTACAACTATTGTATATACCGGTACAGTACAGTACAGAAACATTGTAAGGGTATAAGAATCGATAGAATATTATTTATTGAAATGCTAATAAATAATTATGGTATTGTGTTTAATAATCTATCATATTAATTACCATAATTATTATTGTATTGTGTATTGTGTTTAATACTATGAGAGTGCTATAAAATAGTTATTGATCCAATAGTAATAATGTAATTAAATTGTGTAAGAAATTATGTTAAATGCAAAATAGCCACAAGTGCTAGTATTAGTTTTGCTATAATTTATTAACATAAAAATAATAATTATTATACAGTATTAATAAAAGAATTAGTTTTATTTATAACAAAAATAAGCGCCAATTAACCATTTGAATATGAATAAAGGCAATCATTGGGTAAATATACAGTATTATAATACAGTAAATATAATCATTTATTAGATCATTTCGTTTGGCATACATTACAACACAAATAAATTGAAAAATATTTTGTAGAAGAAATGCATTTGACATCAATTATTGGCTTTGTCTAAGTTCTCTCACTTTACATCACTTTACACAACGTTTTAATTAAAAATTTAATAAAAATTTAGGAAAAATGGCACAAAAACAGATGAATTGACAAAATTTGATTCATTCCGTAATCATATAATAATAAACAATACTTTAAAATGATCTTAAAAATCAATATCACAGAAATAAATACAAAAATAATTAACCAGTACATTATTCTATACGAATTAACAGAAAATAAAAAACATATTTGAATTACGAATTGTATGATAAGTTGATGGAATCGTCTTAAGAATAATAACATAGAATTTGATTGAAGAGTTCGTCCCATAAATAGTAATCAAATTAAATGTTGTCTTTAAAATTCCAGCCGAAGTTTGAGTTGACGTTTTTGAGACTTTTTGAGTTGTTTGAGATTTTCTGAGATTCGGC